TGTCTATTGGTAGTGCATCATGCCTTAAAGTCTTATAATCCCTACATCTCGTCTCTCCCGCAGATCTTCGACGACGCCATCTTCGCCTTCTTCACGGTGGAGATGGTGATCAAGATGGTGGCGATGGGCTGGTCGGGAAAAGGCTCCTACATGGCCGACTCATGGAACCGACTCGACCTGTTCATCGTCTTCGCTGGGTGAGTAGCTGCGGCTCTGGTGTTGTGGGAGGTTGTGATTGTGGTTTGTGTTGTGGGTGTGGGTGAATTGTAGGTGTGTATGTGTCCGTCACATTTCTCGTGTTATCTTTCCGGAAAGAATTAATGTAATTTGCACTTTGGACATCTTTTTATGGAACAGGAATTTTTGGAATAAAAATTGCCATCTTTTTGCCTGTTTCTCTATTCATCAGTCTCTTTCTCTCGTCCAAATCTTTGTCAGTCTCCCTCTCTCTCTCTCTCTCTCTCTCTCTCTCTCTCTCTCTCTCTCTCTCTCTCTCTCTCTCTCTCTCTCTCTCTCTCTCTTCTCTCTCTCTCTCTCTCTCTCTCTCTCCTCTCTCTCCTTCTCTTCTTCTTCTTCTCTTCTTCTTCTTCTTCTTCTCTTCAATCTCTCTCTCTTTCCCTCTTCCTCTTCCTTTCCCTTCCCTCTACCCTCCTCCCTCTCTCTCTCTTTCTCTGTCTTGAAAACATCTCATCGGCAGGCGGATCACGGCGATTGCAGTGTGCAGTTGAGCTTACGTGTTACCTGACTGAACATTCAGATGAGCTGCGTTTTCTTCATTCCTTTGTGTGTGTGTGCGTGTGTGTGTGTGTGTGTGTGTGTGTGTGTGTGTGTGTGTGTGTGTTGTTGTGTGTATGTGTGTGTTGTTTGGGTGTAGTGTGTGCGTGTGTGTGTTGTCGGTGTGTGTGTGTGTTGCGTGGTGTGTGTGGTATGTATGTATGTGTGTGTGTGCACGCGCTTATATTTGTGAGTAGATATTTATAAGATATCAGCAATGTATTTTTTTCCTTTGCATTGTTTACCTCATGTTTTTCCTCTTCCCATGGATATATTGTCTACTGCTTTTAGCAATTCCCTTTCCTTTTCCCCATATCCTTTTTACAGATTTACCCTTTCCTCTTTTCCTCCCACCCAATCCTTCTTTATGACCTTCCTTTCCCCCCTTCTACCGCCCCTTCCTATCTACTACTTCCACCGCCCCCCCCCCCTTCCCCTTTTTTTCCCTCCCTCCCTTATTCAGGCCTCAAAGTACTTGATTTTCCCCCGGTGTTTCCGCCTCGAATTTGATTTTCCTTCCTTCACGACGCCCAATCTTCGTGTCTGGGAGGAATCTCATTTTCGCTACTCAGCTGATATTTACTTCTGCCGGGAGGAGCCGCCGTCGCCCTCTCCTGGTGCTTCTCCTGTCTACCTTTCGTTCTCGTTCCCTGCTCTTTTCTCCTGTTCTCCTCTGGACTTTTCGTCCTCGTTCCCTTTTCTTTTCTCCTGTCTACCATTCGCTCTCGTTCCCTTCTCTTTTCTCCTTTCTCCTCTCTACTTTTCGTCCTCGTTCCCTTCTTCTTCTTCCTCTACCTTTTCTCGTGTTTACCTTTCGCCCTCGTTCCCTTCTCCTCTTCTCCTGTCTACCTTTTGTCCTCTTTCCCTTCTTCTCTTCTCCTGTCTACCTTTCGTCCTCGTTCCCTTCTCTTTTCTCCTGTCTACCTTTCGTCCTTTTCCCTTTCCTCTTCTCTGTTACCTTTGTCCTCTTTCTTCTCTTCTCCTCTTCCCTCTCGCTTCTTTTCCTGTCTACCTTTCGTCCTCTCCTCTTCTCCTGTTCAACTTTCGTTCTCGTTCCCTTCTCCTCTTCTCCTGTCTACCTTTCGTCCTCGTTCCCCTTTCCTCCTTCCTCTACCTTTCTTTCGTCACTCATTTTCTTTCTTATCCCTATTCCTCTCTTCATTCACTTCTGTTCTATTCCCTCCTACCCTCGTTTTCCTACTTTCCCTCCTCCCCTCCTTTTCCTCCTACACGTGTTATTTCCACCATCTCCCCGCCTCCTCCATCATCTTCCCCTACTTTTCTTACTCCTTCTATCTTTTTCTAATTCCATTTCTCTTCTCTCTTTCCCTTCCATTACTCCTAGAATCTATCTTGGTTCTTTCTCTCCCTCCCTTCTCCACCTTCCCTCTATTCTATCTTTTTCCTCCCCATCCCCACACCCTTGTATTTTGCTGTGTTTTCCCCCTGCCAGAATTCCTCTTCTTCATCCACTTCCCCTCCTTCTCCTCCTCCTCCTCCCCCTCCTCTCTTTCTCCTCCTTCCCCTTCTTCTCTTTCTCCTCCTTATCATCATCCTTCTCCATCTCTTCCTTTTCCTCCTCATCCTCATCCTTTTTTTCCTCCTGATGCGCCTCATTTTTTCCCACGTGATATGCCTTCTCCTCATATTCTCCCCGCCCCCGTTTGCCCATTTCTTCCTCCTCGGCTCGATTTGAAACCAAAGTAAAAAAAAATAAGAGAAAAAAAACGTCAGATTCGCGGTGTATTTTCCCCTTCTGTTCACTTAAGTTTTAATTAGTTGGTGGAAATCGGTACGAAGTTGCCACTAAACTTCGGAGTGCAGATTAGTTCCTCATCACACGGGGCCGACACTGATACACCGACGGCTGACGGCTGCAGTCCCCTCCGCTGTCAGCCAGCTCGGTGACGGACCTCTGGTGTCAGCAGAATCAACCTAATAATATAGGTTCGCGTTTTCTCTTTATGGCGACGGTGTCAACTTTGCTTTGGGAAGGGCATTGTCAGCAGTTATCGGAATGTCCTTTTGAGCTGTTGATGAAGGTGATCGAGGGGCTTTGAGCCTGACGACTGAAGGCACGCCAGGTTGAGAAGAGTGTCGTCCTGAAAGGCCCTTTTAGTAGTCATTGCGCCAGGAATGATGACCCTTTCGCTTTTTACGAATGATATCCACGTCCTGGAGGTCGGCGACTTGCGAGCGACGTTCGCAGACTGTTAGATACTCGTGATTACAAATGGCAGTTTGTCACGAAAGAGAGAGGGGAGCAGATCGTCTGGAGGGGGAGATGTGGCGTAATGGCGAGGTGGAAGGATGGAGGCTCCACCTGGAAGGAGAATCCACCTGTACAGGCTTGATATTGATCTGCGCAGCTGTACCCACACCCACACCCATCATTTTTTAAGTATCTCTTCCCTACCCAATGGGCGGGTTTTATTCACTTGGCTAACGGCATCCGAGAGTTACGTAAGCGGGACACGGCCGTTTCGCTGCGCTGGCAACGAAGTTGATTCGTCTGAACCGAGAGGAGGCTCATGAGCGCCAAAGGCCTCGAAGCGACGCCGGTTAAAGCAGCCTGATGGCCGGTCGCCTCGTCGCCGCTTCCTCTCCTCTGATGGGGATCAGCGCCGCTCAGCCTCGGGGCTCGAGGTTGGCGAATCAGCACGACGGGGTTTCGAGACAGAAAGAAGGAAACGAAGGGCACAAGATAAGAGAACGGAAGTAAGAAAACACGCCCCCGTATACAACACACACAAACACACATGTGTGTGCGTACGCATGTATGTATTACGTTAGAGTGCATAAATAGAATTAAACATAGTCTCTGTTCTGTTCCTTATCATTATTTCGTGTCAGTCCGGAAGAAAATTTAGATTCTTATCGGATTCGCAAAATTTGTCTCGCGTATGTCATTGCGCGCCTTTCCTTCTTCAGTTTCCGTGATTTTTTAAGCTTCACTTTTAGCCGAAAGACCACTAACAACGTTCGCAAAATTTCGAAATTCAAGCACTTAGTTCGTCTGCATTGGAGCTTTTGCACCGCTCTGAAAAAAATATTTGAAAATAAATAAATAATGGACGTTAAAGTTGTTCAGAGTTTGAGAATTTTGGGGGACTAAACCGATTTTATGTGATTTTTTACTCTTTTTGCAAGAGTGGAAGGGGGTGGGGAGGGGGGGTGGGGCGATTTTAGTTTCAACATTTCGAGTAAATGGCGGACAGTTCACAATCTCTCTCTCTCTCTCTCTCTCTCTCTCTCTCTCTCTCTCTCTCTCTCTCTCTCTCTCTCTCTCTCTCTCTCTCTCTCTCTCTCTCTCTCTCTCTCTCTCCCCCTCCTCCATCCTTACTCCCTTCCCTCCATCCCTCCTTCCCCCTCCTCCATCCTTCATTTCTCCTCTCCTCCATCCTCCTTCCCTCCTTCCTTTCCTCCATCCGTCCATCCGCTTCCACCTCCATCCTCCATCCCCTTCCCTCCATCTCCTCCTCCCTCCATCTCTCCTCCCTTCCCTCCACCCTCCCCTTCCTCCTCCATCCATCCCTCCTCCCACTCTTCCCTTCCCTCCATCCCTCCTCCCCCTCTTCCCTTCCCTCCATCCCTCCTCCCCTCCTCCTTTCCCTCCACCCCGAGTTCATTTCACTAAGCCGAAAAAAGCAAGTTAGGTGAAGGAAATACTTGAATTTCCGTGATTCCCTTGGGTTACCTAGCGTGCTTGGCGCTGGCATCTGCATGCGCCCTCTAGCGGAAAACTGAGATAGTTTTGTTTTTCAATTCTTCATTTTGTTTAGCTCGTGTCTCTCTTTTTTAATTTCATTTTTTTTTTCAACTCTTCCTCTTACTTAGCTCATTTCTATTTTCTGTAGGGCGGTCGGATGCAGTTCGGGGCGCCGTCGTTAATGGTTTTGCTTCATAATTAGTTCTTGCAAACGGATGACGGTTTCTTAGGCCCCGCCCACTCACACTTTCCCATACTCGTATTGCACACGGCGAGTAGATAGGATAAGCTGGGTACAAATGTGGCTTGCAGTATTTGACAAATGCACTTTCGTTATAAAGTATGTCGGTGTGCTGTGTATTCATGTAGTTATCACTGTTATATTATATTTTTATATATATTATATATATATATATATAAAGGGATTATAAAACGCCAGCGATCAGTCTAGCAAAACAAATATTTCGTTTGGGTAAAAAAAGCGGTTCGGATAATTGATTTATTATCTCTTGCCAAATGAAATTAAAGTTTGTGGGATTGTTCGAGCGAAGCGGACGCTATTCTCTTATCGTGGGCAACACCTGTCGTTATGACGCAAAAGAAACAATCAATTAAAGCAAATCTGCCGATTCCTTTTGTTTTGACGTAACAACTATAGCATTGGAGGCGGGATACTCGATGAGGGGGAGGAAGGGAGAGGGAGTAGGAGTGGGT